TCTTCTTTCTGGCTGTTACAGTTTCTGATTCGTCTCGATGCTTTTATTTTCTTGTTTGTTACAATAAATCGAAGAATGAAATAATTTTACTTTGTAGCAATAAATTATTGAGTAATTTGCTACCCTTCTCCACAGATGCCTGCAAGGCCGCCCAACCGGTATAGTGGTTAACGTCGCTGATTACCGTACTGAAGGGCCCGGGTTCGAAGCCCGGAGAATGTATGAATGTTTGTAAATGTATAGTGTCGGTGCGGCATGGCGTCAAATTTCCTTTTCTCTTGTGATATTTTGCTTTACCAGGTAAGTAAAAATATTACGCCCTCTAAATATGCATGGCCCTCTAAATATGCGACGAGCCGAGGGACCCGTTCCCCTAGGGGGTCCATCAAAATCAGGGGCGGAACTGAGCCAAATCGCACTGTCACTTGTAAGGTTCTCAAGGCTGTTGCCAACGGCAGGCGTATCTAGCGCTCCTTCCCACGAGGCATTTCGTGGACTTGGGCTGACTACGTCGGACAAGTGAGCATAAACAACAACACCATATGCCTACTAGTGGCTGAGCGGGCTAGCTCGCTAAATACCGGTAGTTTGATCCGGGTTCAGATCCTAAAGAAAATTATATTTGTATAGGCATTTCCATGTTCGCTAGTTTCTGTTAGAAAATCCTTCGTGCTGTGTTTTTATTTTAACACACATTTGTATTTATTTTAACACACATGGATATATGTACTAGAAGGAGAAGTAGTTCTTTCTAAACTAAAATCTGTTGTATAAGAGTTCCAGAAATGAGAAGGCCCTTCTTTTGGCCGAATGACTAAAGCCGTTGATCACTGGTATTTTATCCTGGAATCGATTCCCACTAACTCATTGGGCTAGCATCTTAAGGTTTTTCACCATATGTACCTCGAAGAGAAGCTAATTTTGCTTTAAAAGTTCCTTAGGCATCTGTTCTTAACCACATAACAACTCTCAAAGTAATTAAACCTTTCAAGACCGATTTATGAACAGTTTATCTCAAAAATTTTATATACACCTAAACTGTTTAATGAAAATAAAACTGATTTATTTTCTTAAAAGTTTGTGCAGATTTTAGATGTCTCGCCAAACGCAGATGTAGTAGCCCGATGTATAAATTATTGTTTGTTGAAACTATTATCATAGTAATTGTTACTTTTGGTTTTAGTATATTCTTATTTTTACAAAAAATGAACATATGTTAGGTTTCTACTCGGTAATATTAAATTTACCCTTTTAAATTTTACATTAAGAAAGATCTTAAATTATAAAATACTTCATCAGAAAGTTCATCGCAGTAATATTCATGAAGAATTTTTTATTATTACGGAACAGAAAAATTTTATATTTTGTATGTTAAAAGCGCGGATTAAATTTTACTTTTATCATTGCACAAACCTTGCATATACCTTTTTATATTTCAAATACTGGTCAGCAGTAATCTCTGCTTTCAAAGAAGTACTTTTAGGTATCGAAAATTTTTCTGTTCTAAGGATTCCATTAACCATAATACGTTTAAAAGCCCATTGGGTCTTTTAAAGTGTAAGAAGTTATTCTTTTTTTTTTTTTTTTTTTTTTTTTTAGTCCAAAGGGGCTTTGTCCCTGAAGGACTATTGTTTTCGTTTTGCGATTTTGTGTTGGTTCACTATAAATGTCAATTTCACTTTTCAAACTGTTGCCACCGAGTCCTGCATTATATTTGAAGAAATTAAATAGAGAAAAATCTGCATAAATGTATATATATTTCACGCATTGTGATAAAACGCGGGAAATAGAGCCATCGAATATTGAATGACGTAATCCTACTGCGAATATGGCCATGTGGAAGCCCAAATTTGGAATATGTTTTATTATTTTATATTTTGTAAATCTTTAACGAATTTTTGATTATCAAACTCAAGGATTTCAAAACGAGCAATGGCAACGTTCTACAGAAAAAAAAACATTTTTATCTCCGGCGCGCGAGACTGTGTATCGGGAATTCTAAAGATATGCTCAATTTAAAACTATTTTGCGATATTGCTGTTGAACTGAATTTTATGGTTTAAGTGTGTTATTTAATAAATAAAAATAACCGACAAAATGTTAAAAAAACGCTCCTTTGGACGTAATGTAAAATTTAAAAACCTTTCAGAGTTTTATCTTTATTATTATTATTATTTATTTATTTATTTTTCCCTTGATATTTCGCAAACCAAAAGTTTGCAATTTTGCACACAGGAAGATAATAAAATTTTACTTATCTAATAAACAAGTGAAAGAAAAGAGTTTAGTTTGCTGTGCTAATCATTGCCAATTCTAAGAGTAAGAAGTTATTATTGTGTGTTATAATTGTGACAAAGCACACTAGAGTTATTTACCTAAAGGAAGGATGCCTTTATAGAAAACTTTTGAAGGAAACCCGACTCGAATTAACATTGCACATGTGGATAACCACGATATCCATGTAGCCACATCGTTCGCTAGGATTCGAATCATGATCCAGTTCCCCAGTGGCATCAACCGCAGCGGTATGTCTTCTGCCTCTCTCTGTGAAGTTTCTATAAAATTCCGTTAGTAATGCTTCTTCGAGTTCCACCGAGGCCATTTCTCATTTTTCATATACTCCTGCTTCAAAAACTTAACGACTCTAGAGTGGCGTCCGAACTAAAAGGTAGAGATCTCCTAATCCCCAGTCGCCTTTGAAAAGGGGGATTATATAAGGTATTTTTCCCCTCCTTCTAGCTTTCTTTTGGGGTGTAACAATAGCGGTCTCGGCGCGTGTTCGAGGGATGCAGCTTCGAGTCCCGGCGAGAACGTTGCTCGTTTTTCATGTACTCCTGATTAAAAGAGACCGAATGACTCTATAGGGTATTCAATTTGAGAGTTTAACATGATATAAAGAGGTGGATTGTGGAAACATCGAAAACGTTTATGGCAATCGCCAGCTCATGGTGGTTCATGGAGTGCTCGTGCGACATCTGTGATTCAAGTTCGAAGCTACATCTGTGGGTCGAATCTGCGTTGACTTCGGGGAAGAACTTGAGTCAGTGACATGTGAGCGTGTGCGTTAGTTTCAAGTATTTCAACTCTTTCAAATTTGCGAGCGTTGAGTGGCTCCTCGGACGCCATAAGGTTTCTTTCCAGGACGACTTTAAAAAATCGAATTTTCTCTGGAATAAGTGCATTCAGTGAAATGCGGATTGTGAATGATAAGGTACCTTCCTTCCTAGCTTCCTAGCTTGCCTTCGTGGTATAGTGGTTCTGCACGCTGGGCCGGTATTCCAGAGGTCCGTGGTTCGATTCTCGGCGAAGGCGTTTGCTCATTCTTCAAGTCTCCTGCTTCCAAAAAGAATCCTAATATCTCTACAACCAGTCCAAGTTTTTTCCTTCTTTGATTGTATCATGGTCACTTCTGACCACTTTAGAAGGGCAGTAATATTCAGTTAGCATACATGTGGGGAAACATCTGTGTGCTTGTAGGAATATGATTTCGTGGTTACCCAAGGGACTGGCATTCGAATTAAAGAGTATCAATTCGCATTTAACAGGCGTATGAGATCTTTAAAGGTTCTTCACCTTAAATTTTTTCTCTGTGACCATAATGATGATACTTTTTAAGATGCATGTTGATTGGAACCAATTCCGTACCTGAAACTTTGCAGTGATTGGTTACAGCCGAAAACATCGCAGACGAAAACGTCGTGGAGAAACCAACGCAAGGCGAAAACGTCGTGCTACAAAACATCGTGGGAGAAAAACATCGCAAAGAGAAAACATCGCAGTTTAAAAACATCGTCGTCGAAAATATCGTGGTAAAAAATAAAGTATCTACAAATCATCGCAGACATACTTTTTTCAGGTTTTAATAATTGTAAATGGATATTCCCGTAATGATTTGTGAGCGCAAGATGGAAAGAAGGATAATTTTTACTTTCATATTTTTTATTGATCAATAAATTTTTGCTGAGAAAATAAAAAAGGATGCTTAAGCATAGAAAATTAATGCAACTTATAGCACTTAATAGAATTTTAAACCGACATAGTTAACTAACAAAGGCCATTAATAAATCATTTTTTATAAAGTTTTACTGGTAGTTTTTCATGAAAAGTATAATCTATAAGTTGCATTAAATTTTCTATGCTTAAGTTTCCTTCTTACTTTTTCAGCAAAAATTTATTAGTTAATAAAAAATTGTGAAAGTAAAAATTATCCTTCTTTACATCTTGCGCTCACAAATCATTATGGAAATATCCGTTTACAATTATTAAAACCTGAAAAAAATATGTCTGCGATGTTATCGTCATGCGATGATTTCTAGATACTTTATTTTTTACCACGATATTTTCGACTACGATGTTTTTAAACTGCGAAGTTTTTGAACCGCTTTATTTTCGACGACGATATTTTGTACCGCGATGTTTTAGAACTGCGATGTTTTCTCATTGCGATGTTTTCGCTCACGATGTTTTGTAGCACGACGTTTCCGCCTTGCTTTGTTTTCTCCGCGACGTTTTCGTCCGCGATGTTTTTGCCGCGATGTTATCGGCGGAGACCGCAGTGATTATAAACATGCAGAATCAACACTGAGCGAAAAGTATACTGTTTTATATGGTGTATGATTTTATTGCTTATTTTTCTTTATAATGTTTAAATGAAGGTATCATTTTCATGTTTATAAAAGATGCATACGATAAGGCTAATTAATTCAGATTTCATGACAGAAGCAATTATTTGCAGTATGTAAAAGACTTTTTCAATCCAGCTAAGTGTCACTTCTTCCAAAATCAGTTTTCTAAAGAAATTTTATGTCAAATTGCGGAAGCAGATGAAATATTTTAATTGACATGCAAATTTGAATAACCCAAATCATGCAATATGTAATTTTTGTTGCTTACCTGAATGTAATTATCCTGTTCGTTCATAGCTTTAATTTCCCCCTGAAGCAACACAGAGAAAAAATACATTTTCCGTCTATTATACGATGTATATTTTTCCATTACAGGACGTAGTTTAGCTGTACCAAAGCAACATGTTTTACTTCGAGCAAATATTCCTGCACAGTTTCGTTTTCAGTCTTCAGATTCGGCAGCATATACAGCAACGTATGACTTTGAAACACTCACTGTTACAGCTCCTGACGATCACATCTTACATGTAGAACTAAACCGTCCAGAATGTTATAATGCTATGAATAAAATGTTTTGGAGGTAAGTTTACAGCATATTTCAAAACTATGTTAATGTGTATCAAATTTGACCTCGGAGAGAATTTTAGTTAATCTGAATAAGTATAACAGTTTTCTATTTTTAGGGGATATTTATGAACATGTTCTTTACTGTTAAAAAAAAAAAAACTTTTAAGTCTCATCTACTGATTTTGTATCAATAGTAAATATGCTATTAATGTTTCGGTTTCAGGTTTATTATACTTTTATCTCAGGCAGCAGCATAGTATCGACATGTACAACCTCCTGTGTGTATTATATACAGGATGTACCGAGGAACAAAAATTGTCATGGAACATGCTATCGCGAACGATGTTTAATCGGTGAAAATTGCGAAAATATTTTCATACTCCGTAAGGTGGAATGAACCAACATCTCTAAAGTATGCTCCTTACATTCAGGGGGTGTAGATTGAACGCGCCCTTCTGGAAACAGCTTAAATCACTTATTTATGAGACGTCTGTAAAAAACATAGTGCACCGGATGATCTTATAGCTGGAATCATCGTCGTTGCGGCAGACATCAGCATCACACGGTTATTTTAGAATGCATTTGACAATCGTTGTGATTTAGTTGAGTGACATACTGGTTTATGCTATTCCCATCCCTCGAGTTCATGTTGCTTAACTTAAACAGAGTGATTCTTTTAGCATGTGCAAACTTCGGGGAGGTTAAAGACAATTCGGAATTACATACCACTGTAGAGGTGGAAACGCAATCCTCACGTGCTGGTGTGCAGAGAAGAAAATACAAGAAAAGAAAAGAGAGAGTGATTTGAATAATAATATTTTAATTAGCAAATCGGTTTTGGTTTGGTTTTTTGTTTATTTAATTACGGCAAAGCACACTAGGGCTATCTTCCTAAGGGGAGGGATGCTTTCGTGGAGGACTTTCTTAGGAAAACTGGTTCGTATACACGTTACACATGGGGAAAACCACGAAAACGCCCATGCAGCCAGCCTGTTTGCGGGATTCGAACCTCGGACCGAACTACCAGTGTTCAGCGACTTTATCATTCGGCCGCTGGTGGGCCAATTAGCAAATCGATACACTTGCAATATTCAGAGGTCACGATAAGTGTTCGAAGTTATTACCTTCAGCTATGATACAAGCGTGACACTGGCACAGCATAGAGTCACGGAATTTTTTAAATATACCAAGAGTCTCAATTGTGATCGCGCTAGCTACGCTAATCCGCGCGACAAGATAATCTTCACTAGTCACGCGTGTTTTCCACACCAAGTCTTTTCAGTAACCTCAGAGAAATCTAGGCAGGTCAGGTCCGGGGAACGTGCAGGTTAATGAATAGGACCACCACGACCTATCCACCTTTGACCAAGTGCTGAAATCAAGTGTTGCCGAACGGAAGAGTAAAATGGGCTCAGGCGGCATCATGCTGGAACCATATATGGTTATATATAGCGGCACAACAACTGAATTCAAGTGTCGCCGAATGGTATGATAGCAGGTTCATGGAAAATTTTTGTGCCCCTTGATGCCTACTGTCACCCCTCTGAGTTTGTCGCTTCTTCAATAAAACACTTTTTATTTAAAAACTGACGATGATCTAGCTATGGAAGTGACTTCTTCGTTTTCTGGAACTGAAATTGATGTATGGATATCAATGTTTAAAGAGTTAAAAAAAGTAAACTTGTAGGTGAGCTAACAAAAGTAATGAATCTTCAATCCAGAACTTGGTATGTCACCCGATTAAAAATGTTTCAGAATTTTTTAAAATGAAGAGTATTTTGCTCATACGAATTAAAAAGTTGAATAAAATTTGCTCTCGGAACAGTTATTGAGTTTGTTTCCGTTGAAGGCATCGACAAATGAAAATTAGATTCATTATGCATCTAACAACTGATATAAGAAATAGTTCTCTAAAAAGTGCAGCAAGAATTAAATTTTAGAGGATATTTGTATTGTAACTTGCAAATGAAACTGTTCAGGCATTCTTATATCTAATATCATGTTGTGTTGTCTGAGCGAATGCTGAGTACACAGGAAAACTAAAATTAACCAATCAATAGAAATACTGTTTTACTGTCGTATTTCTCTCTGTTGGGCATTTTCTCTTAGCCTTTTCTAGCATGAAATTTAAATTTTTTTATTCATGGTAGCATTGCTCAAGATGCGGATAGTAAGCAGTGTATAGTGTGGAAGTAAAAAGAAGAGCACCTGAAGGCAATAACCGTAAATGACTTCTTTGAAATGCATAATGTAACGATAATATAGTGTACTTGCATTCTTATATACTTTTCAGTCTGTTAAATTCTTCTGTGACGACCTTCTTCATAAATAAGGTATGCTACGTAATTTTCCTCTCTTGCTCGATTATTAACAGTGAAATGACTGAAGTAAGACGGAGAGGATACGCGAATAATATGGTAAGTACAAAAAGTTTTTGATATGTAAAACATAATTTCAGTGATTTAAAAAAAATGATGATGAATTTTTTTGTTAATATACAAAGGCTGCATAGAGTAGGTTTGTGTAACAGGCATCTACAGTTTTCTAATCCTTTTTTATTGTGGGTGTTATACAAGACTACTACTGACTGTAATGTCATCGTATTTTGCAATTAACTTTATTCTTCATTTGAGCAAAGTATTATATGTTATTCGTGGCAGTACTATGTAACATTCACGTAATATAAGGAATTGTGATTGTGAAATAATATTTTTAGAGCTAGAGTAATAATTGCCGTCTGACTGCTGGCTTAACATTTTGTTGACGTTTGCAGATAGTAACTGACTGGATACTTGGACACTTGCATGATGACTGGCATTCTCTAATTAATAATAAGCTCAGGTATCTAAGATAATCCCGTGCTGAGCCTGACCCCAAGTGTAGAATCTGAAGTGGTGTCTTTGGGAGGATGATATGAGGGACGCAGCCCGACCCTCCAGGCAGACTTTACGTCGCCCTATGGCCTTTTTGCGGGCTGCGCCCATGGAGGTAGGAAAGGGAGGAGGGGCCATTCCGCGCTAGAAGTGAAGCACTGCTTTGAAGCTTGGGTCACCAGACGGGGTATTCTTTGTTTACATTCAGAAGCTCTCTTGACAAGATTCTGATAGTATTTCGACACACGACAGTTCCATAGAAATCGAAAAAGGGACACTCTCGCATGAAAGAAACATTCATAGTGGATGGATAATAGCAATTTGTATAGTTTTTACTGACATTTACGCAAAAATCACATCTTGGTTATTTTTCGATAACTAACAACACGATTTTGATTATGAATTTGTTTTATAAAATTCTAAGCTGTTGCACTACAAAAATATAGATTTTAAGAAAATTGCTGCTAAAACAGATCTGCCAAAATTTATTTTTCTAGAAGATTTGAAAAGTTTGAAACTTGATGGCTAAATGTAAATATAAAATTATGTGTGTTAAAAATATTTGTAATTAGGCACATAGGTCAGATAAGTTTTTTTTTTATTAAATAGAGTAACGCATGCAAGGGCTATCTGCCTAAAGAGAGATGCCATCGTGGAGGGATTTTGAAGAAAACTGACCTTTGAGTGGGTATTAAAATAATACTTATAATTTTCATTCAAATTATATTCATATATATTTTTTATGTAAAACTTTCGGGTGTATGCTAAATTAGTGTAAATTACTTTACACGAAAAGTATAGTGAATACACAGAAATTAAAGATTTGCACATGCCGGAAATGATAAATAGGAAATATGTATGGGTATTTATGCATGTGCTTGCAAAAAGCATGTATCTGCCTTTGACAAAATACTTAAATATTCATTAAATTATTTATAAATGTATTTGAAAGGAAGAATTTATTCACTTATAAACAACTGTGAAAGTACTGTGAAGAAATCTAATGATTAAATGTATCTAATTTATAATGATTATAAATGTTATCTAATATTATAATAACCTTAATATTGAATTGTAAACATAAATTGAAATCCTGTTGACAAATACGTTATAAAACTATTTAAGCAAGCAAGAATTGTTCGTATTGGAAAGCAATCTGTTAAAAGGTATTGTAAAGCAAATGCTATGAGATGCGCACTTAAGAACGTAATAAAGAGTTTTGGAATATGTATTGTTGAAATGAAGGGTAAAAAAAAATCTGATAAGTATAATTAAAAGAATTATTCCCCTTACATTTTATAATAACTCAGTTACAAGTTTTAAATAATACTTAAAAAAAAAAAAAAAAAAAAAAAATTATTTATTTTATCCCTTTCAGAAATGTTTCAGAGAATCAAATACTATTTAATACCTATTTAATTAATTCTCTAATTTAAAATGAACCGAATAGAGCATTAATTATAAATTGACTTACATTTTTCGATTTAAAAGAAGCCAAAAAATCATGTCATATTTAAAAAGTATTTTAGGAAGAAGCTCTATAAATAGAAAAGAAATAATGCATAATTTTAATATTAATAATACAATAAACTTTGATCTTAATTTTTGTACCTTAACCGAATAAAATCGAATTACCTTAATTTTTTTTCTAATGTAATTAACGAAAACTTGTGAAAATATTTCATTCAAATTAAACCATTCTGAGAAAACTGTCCTGTGAAAAGTATATAGCATTTTAATTCCGTTCAGAATGAAATGTTGTTTAAAAATATGTTGTTTTCACATACTTAGGACTCTGAAGTGTTGTAGAAAAAGAATATATACATTTATATGTATATTTGCGACGTAATTACAAAATATTTACACCCGAACGCGTCAAATCCCATAGAACTCAATGGTAAATGACCAATGTTTTGGTCACCACGTAGGGATCGCCGGTGCTTCAGAGCAGGGTACGGAGAAACTTGTTTAGGGCGACTCCATCTTACTTCCTACCTCCATGGCTGCGCCAGAGCAAGCTAGAAACACCTCCAACAAAACAAAGACATCTCTTTGGGAGGATCTAAAAATAGACATTAAATGACTTCTACCGAAACAATAAATAAAGATCACGATACTGACCAAATCGGCGTTTCCCCCCCCTTAGCAGTGTTGGCGTTTGTTATTGTTCCAGTGCCTGAAGCAGCAGAAATCATCATTGTTTCCTAAACTGTGGCATCAGAATCATGCAGTGAAGAAAGTGGAAAATTAATATCTATAACTTAAATAAAAAAAGGAACTGCGAACATGCTATTGGAATGAAATACAAGAGCTTTGATGCGGATTATGAGTAGCGGGAACAAAATTGTGACATTTCTTTTTAATGTGCTGATTTCAGCTAAATATTCCAGACGTCTATGGACTAAATTATTATGAAATCATTATTACATCAAAGAATGGCAGTAGAAAAGGCTGCCTCCAAGTATACTGTAGTTTGATTGTTCAGCTGCATTTATTTGTACTGTAGTTTGGTTGTTAGGCTAATAAATACGTAGTCAATATCTAACTAATAATGTCTGAAGTAAGATAAATATTTAATACCTTCTCACAAGGTGGCTGAGAACGTCTCACCCTATTTCTTCATATTAAATTTAAAAAAAAAATTTTTTTTCAGAGGGGTTATGCACAATTATTATTTGTTAGCATTCACAGGATTCTTTAGAAGCAAATTGGTGTTACTATGTATTGTATTTAATAGAATATTGAAAATTCCCTCCGTTTTCAAATGAAATGAATTCGTTCTTTCTTTGCTAAATTACAAAACTACATATTTTTGTCAAACGAAATATTTATTTTAAGGTTTTCCTTGGCCCGTACAGAAAGGGGAAAATATAAAACAGTAGAGTTGCTTCTGATTTTTTAATGCTGTTTTTCTCTACGTTTACGAAATTTAACGTTTTGCATAGGAGGATAAAGCAGTTTTAATACGGTTGTTAAATATTGAAAAGAAACTGAGCACATAACTCAATTTAGCTTAAAAATTTGAAGATGAATAATCGCAAGGTCATACAAATATTCAAATTAATTTTTAGGTTTCTCTCTTAAGCTGTATACTCAGCTTTATACATATGCGCAGTCACTTTCTGTTGCGACACTTAACATTTTGGTACAGGATCTACTAATACTAGAACTGAAATTCAGGATCGACGTTAAAAAGTATCATCAGTGTAATACAAGCCCAGCACTTTTAAGAAAAGCAATTTTGAATAGTCATTCTACCAAATGAAAGAGAATGAGTACGTGTTTAGTTTGGTTGGGAAAGGTTGACCAGAGCAATCTCCGCCCCCTTCTATGGTGTATCTAGTTCTTACACCAGAATGTTCAAAAAGAAACGTTTTCTCAATATGTTATTCTTTCGTAGAAAATAATTCTTGTCTTTTTAACCGGAAGGCACCCCCTCCTCTTTTAGCCGCTTGGCCTTTTTTTTTTTTTTTTTTTTTTAGGCTCCTTTTGCTCAGCTGACGTGCTCTGCTTTGTTTCAGCCCTATTGGCTTTTGCCCACCTTGGTAGTTAGCACCTGTCTCCTCCTGCCTAATCCGGAGTGAGATAACGCAGTGTTTAGAAGCGTGGATTCAAACCCACTTACTGGTAGCAATCGTTACAAAACACCGCAGTTGCTTTCAGTAGCAGGAGCGGTTATAAGAGTTTGTTGTTGTTTAGTAGAAAATTGACACAGTTACAGTGAAGTGAAAAACTTTGCTAAAATCTGTATAAATCATAATTTGTATATGATTGCAGTACTTTATTAGTTTTCTGCCTTCAGTTTGAATGTAGGGTAAATCATAACAAGGATATGTGCAACTTTCATATTCTTCTTTTAAAATACTGAATATTCATATATATGTATAATATTTCTTTTTGTTTTTAGGGAGATGCTAGATTGTTTCAGAAAAATTCGTGATGATCGATATTGCAGAGCCGTGATAATATCAGGTTCAGGGCAACTATTTTCAGCTGGTATGTTAGTAATTCAAAATATTTAAAAGTGTTTTTAATGTTATGCTTACGGATATTGTTACATTACTCAGGAAGCTAAACGAAGTACAAATATTAATCTTTAATTACATAACTTTAAATAATGCATCAACTTCTACTTTCCACTACAAAAATATTTATGTAGAATGTCATATTGTAATTTTCCAGTTGCAAGTAATTATGTGTCAATTCAACTGATTCTAAATGCTCATTATTTTCGTCAAACCGTTTACCTATAGGCAGTTGTTAAGCGTAATTTTTAAATGATTATATTTATGTATGTAAGATATAAAATATGAAAGAAAAAAAACTAAATTAACAATAGATCTGATAGTTTCTAATTTTAATTAAATACTTAAAAAACTTAGCGAACACTTCTTTTCTTTCCTCATACATTGATTTGAATTTGACTGTAGTAGACTTGAAAGGCTCATCCCGTTAAATATTCAAGACTTGTAACACACTTGCTTTAGTTGTTTTGAAGAAGAAACACGTTTCGATGACGCATGACGCATGCAGAAACACACGGAATGGCACACGCAGGCTTGATGTCTTGCCGACTTACTAATCTTGTAATAATTTTGGGTGGAAGATGAAACCAATTGTTTAGCAGTCGTGAGTGAAATGAAGCTAGGGAATGGCTGAAATACTGATTGTGTAGTATGGATGAAGTTTTGGAAAAACTACAAATAAGTGGATAATCAAAGAAAGAATTTATTACTTGACGACTAATCTATTAAGACATAGCTTCTCGATTGGCACAACAGAATGTGTACAATCTTCAAGCCGCACCATTATGTAAAACAAATCACATTTTTAGAGAACCGAGGAAACTGTTCAGCGATTAATTATGTGCTTGCAGGGTACAAAGTAAGTGCTTATAAAGCAGATGAAGTATTTATGGGCTCAGTTCCATTGCTTCAGGTTTAAATCATGATTGGATAAAAGCTCACAGCATTGCAGATAAAAATGATGACACAAATGCTGCAGTACGGATTTTTGAAGGGGATATACGAGTATTGGTATAAAGTAAGTGTTTATAACACAGATGAAGTATTTATAGGCTCATTTCCATTGCTTTGGGTTTAAATAATGATTGGATAAAAGCTATTGCAGATAAAAATGATGACACAAATGCTGCAGCACGGATTTTTTAAGGGGAATATACGAGTATTTAAATTAAAAGGTCTGTTGTCAGTTTAGTTAGTTATTTTCTTTCATATTTTTATCTCACACATACATATATATGTATGTGATATTTTAAGGCGTAGTCGTGATGGCTGAGTGGAAAAGGCAGAAAGAAGATGTTGACAGAACTAATTTCGGCGAATCTCCATTTTTATTTTTACACATTTCAAATCATCTCTGGCAGACAAATTACATTTCAATCATAGCTGATTCGACGTAAGCATCTTAGACAAGAAAGCAAAAGAGCACAGAGTTGTTTGCATGGCAGAAGTTAGGAAAAGGAAGGCGTCATTGCTCGTGACGCAGTATTTACACTACTTAGTTGCATATGAAAAGTTAAGGTGCGATTGGTTAATTTTAGGTTTTAGTTCTCTTTTCAAGCAGTCTTATGTAATTTAGAAAGATCTCGAATTTGGGAGATAGGTAAACTTAGGGGGAGAACATAAAATTTAGAATAGTCAATTTTAAGGTCGCTAATTATTTCTTAACGTAACATCGTATTTTATTATATCTTACCTATATATGGACAAAAAGTGAGAAACTGAAAACTAGTTTTGCACAAAGACCCAAAAGAAGTGAAATTCATTACCAGTAAATCTCAAAATGCCCTATAAATATGCAAAAAAGAACTGAAGAAATGTGAAACTAAAACCTAAAAATTACAAAAAAAACTAGTAAAAAATACCAAAAGCAGAAAAAATACAAAAGAAAACAAATTAATCAAATCTGATATAACATTATCAAGAGGGGAATTCATCAGGCTTTTACAGTCCCCTTCAGCTTGAAAACCACTGCGTTTCTGTATGCAGAATTAGCTGATGAACTATTCTGAAGTATTTAATTGTAACAGTTCATTTGGAAAGTTTGAAGTCCTCCCCAACGCAACGTTAAAATTCCAATGTCAAATCAAGCAAAAGAATTTAATTAGGCATTTTTTACTGAATTTGGAATTTTTACGCTGCGTCCGGGTAGACTTCAGAATTTTCAGATGAACTGTTAGAATTAAATATTTAAGATAGCTCATCAGATAATTTTGGATACACAAACGCGGTGGTTTTCAAGTGGAAGGGGTTGTAATCGAGCCTGATGTATCCTCCTCCTCTTGGTAACATTATATCAGATTTGACTGAATTCCTTCTGTTTCTTATTTTTTTTCTGGTTTTGGTATTTTTTTTCTAATTTTTTACTTAGTTATGCAATTTTTAGTTTTTAGTTTCACATTTTTTAAATTCTTATTTGCATATTTAAAGAGTATTTTGAAACTTATCGGTATTGGGTTTCACTTCTTTTTAGTCTTTGTGAAAAATTCGTTCTAAATGTCTTACTTTTTGTCTATATTGATCACTTTTCAGCAGCATATTGCTCGGAAATGCTTGGAATAATTATGTTTTTAAATAAAAAAAAATGTTTTGATACTATATATATGTGATGATTTAATGCGTAGGAGGAATAAGCTTGCAGTCGTCACGGCCGGGTTGAAAGCGTAGAGACGAAGATAACGAAACTGGATTTCTGTATATCACCAATATTTATTTTCGTACATATCAAATCATTTCTTAGTAGACAGGATATTTCTAGATCATAAGCAGTTACAATATTTTTTATATGCACGTTATATCATCTTAGAATCAGAACAAAGGAGGGCATAATAGCATAGAGAAGTTTACAAGGCGGAAGCTAGGGAAAGTGTAGAGTCATTAGGTTAACTGGAAGCAGAAAAGATGAAAACTATGCAACCGGCTTCGCCGGGAATCGAACCACGGACCTCTGGAATACCGGCCCAGCGTGCTACCGTTACACCACGAAGGCACGCTAGGGAAGTGGGAGAAATACCTTATAAAAGGAAAGACGTAATTAACTCGGCAGCGGTATTTATACGTAAATTAATGCAGTTGTAGAGGTAGACTATGACTGGTTAATTTTAGATTTTATATAACATGGAACAATCTCGAATTTGGGAGAACACCAAATCTAGAATAGTTAATTTTGAGGTCGCCATTTATTCTTAAAGCAGCTATCGTATTTTATTATCTCTTACATATATATATATGTAATATTGTGGTAGGCAGGCATAGGAGTGACGAAGCTTGGCATCAGAATCCGGACATTGTTATAGCTGAGTGTAAGTAAGACACCCAATGACGACTCAGAAGAATTTAACTTTATAGCTCCATATCTTTATTCACTGCAAATGGCAGATCATTATTCTTTCAGATTCTCCAAAAACTACATATCCAATAATGATTTAAATTAAAGTAAGGTTAAATTTAATCTTTCAACTTCATAACTATTCTAACAAAGAGAAGAAGAAGCGACAGAGCAAGGCAAGATTTTATGGCAGCGATGGCAGGATGCAGTCTCCTGAAAAGTGAGTGCAGTGCAGTGCAGATTTGCCTGAATAAGAAGCCACTCGGTCCTGAAAAGGACACTTTACTTCTATATGTCTCGTGAATTTTTATATCCTCGAAGACGTGAAGTTCGTAAAATCCAGTCTAAAATCCGGAAGGACGTCAATAAATGAAGCAATAATATGGCATAGGCAGGAGCAATAATCTGTGGAGAGCAATTTTCTTGAGTTTTAGTGCAGCAGGTCAAGTACGGAGGCTCAGATCCCTAGGAAACTTCAATCTTCTGTTAAAAATACAATAATGCACATAAAAATAAAATAAATATGTTAAAAACGTAGAATAATAGTAGAAAATCACAATAATATTTACAAGTCCCTTGTGTTGAATTTTTGTAAAAGAATACGACCAGAGATGGAACTGAGTAGGAGCGGTATGTAGAGGCATAAAATACCCGATTTTTCTATCACCATCCGCATGAAATTCAACTTGCTGGGCAATAGCATTCCTTAATTGCTTATTAATAATCTGTTTATTATGAAGGTACAGATGCCCATAAATTTAATTATTTAAACTTATCAAACGTTTTTCTGCAACCTCACAGTTACTGTTCATTGTGTTACAGGCCTCTTTTCACAGTAATTTAGTTTCATATCTTCCATTTTTATGCATGATAAATCCCAAATATATCTATGACATCTGCATCTGATCGTATAATTTCTGTTTCCTGAGTTATTATAATAGCTTCCAAATCACACAAATTCCGAACCCTCTCGATTTCTGGTTCTCCGTTTAGTTATAAACAATTTCTTTTAACACAATTGCAATTTCTATGATAACTTATTTCTTTACTTTGAATTATAAGCCAAACAAACTGTTCTTAATAACCAATAATTTTTCTAAGCTTATTCTTTCATATAAAATTTCTCAAATGCAATCTAATCCGATCAAAATATGTAGTTCTTTTGAAGTCTCAGTATCCGCTAATTCCCTTACCCAAAACTGTATTTCTTATCCGCTGAGAAGGAATTTCAATGTGGTCATGCGTAATCGCATCAGCTACCATCGCTTCTTTTCTAATTTTTAAAGTAGGATATGATTCTATTCTGCAAATCAAACGGAACCGCGTTATACAGCTGCTTAAGTTGGCGTTCGCTTCCAAACTCATAAATCTGGTATGTTTCACGTCAGTAACCTTCAGTCAACCCTAAGAGACTGCAGTTTTCTTTTTCATAACCGTGCTGTTACTCTTGCTTTCATTTAACCACTCCTATAATTTCCTTTACTTGATTTGTTTTACTAAATGTTTGTAATAAAACTGGCGACGATTTTCCTCCTTTCGCAATTTTGGGTACACTTCACATTTTTATTTTTCGAAGCAATGCAACGACAGCCCCGTAGTTAACTGGCGTTCCGTTTCTTTACTGTTGATTCGATTGAATTTATCGT